CTCGCAGACCCTACTTTGAAGCTCTAACTGCTGGCTTTCATAGGGTGGCTGCTGATGAATGGTAGCAAGCAGCCGAAGCTAGGTGAGTCATGCAAATCAGGGGGGACCTGGCAACCCTAGACTATTGTCTCCCTGGAGAAAATGGCTGCTTTGGAGGGTGGACTCTGTGGCGTTATACCCAGCTGAGGCCTCTCCTTCCCAAACCCAGCCCTCCTTAGAGAACACCACAAAATCTCTAGAAATCCCCCAGCCTGGCACTGGCAACTCTTGTGAGGCCTGGCCCCAAGGCTCCCTCCCTCCCTGAAAGGCCAAAATAGGCCAGGAAAGGGCCCTTCCCCCACCTTTTGACAGAGCCAGTTAGAAGCCCACCCCCCCGAACATTCTAATCTCTCACCATTGATGTCTGGAGTTAGATCCCTGCAGAGGCCATTTCAAAAGGTTTTGGGGGAAATTCAGCCATCCCTGAAGGGATTTTTTTTAGTTTTTGGATTTTTCTACAAACCCAGGAAGTCTACTGACTATGTAGGAAAAGCTGTTGGGGGAGAGTGAGCCCCCTGTTGGTGGAAATAAGTATCCACACAGAGAAAAAAAAACTCTGGGTAATAGAATAAGGGTTAGTACCTTGGTTTTATTGAAGTTAATTTCTAAATATTCTTTGACTCCAAAATCATAAAACTTATTTATATTTTCACTAAACCTGCGAGAGTATGGGCTAATAAAAATAGATCATCTGCATATGCTAAATAAGGTACAGGCTGACCACTTAGCTGAGGAGAACAGGGTCTACAGTCCTGGCTAGGATGAAAATCATTTTTACATATATTAAATAAATGTGTGGCCAAGATACAGCCCTGCCTAGCACCTCTTCTTACCCTGATTGTGTTCAAGAGCGTAGAGCTACCTGGTATATGAATCTGGAGAATATTTTGAAATTATAGATTCCTAATAAGTGTCAGCAATCTGCCAGGCATACCCATGTTAAAAAGTTTATTCCAAAGTCTAATGAGAGAGATAGAATGGAATATACCACAGAGATCAATAAATGAAGACTAAGTACACCGCCTGCACCTTTTGTATACTTATTCACTAAAGAAGTAACATGAAACAAAGATGCAAGCAGGAAGGTTTTTTCCTAAATCCATATTGGGCATTGTTTAAGATGTTTGAGTCCTCCATCCATACCTTCAGCCTGCTGGCTAAATGGCTAGCATAAAGCTTGCCTATAACAGAAAGTAAGCTTATAGGGCGGTAGTTAGCTGGAACGTCTTTTGTTCCTTTTTTGAAAAATCGAGTTATAATTGCTCATTTCAAACTATCAGGTATTTCTCCAGTCTGATTTACCTCACTAAATAATGGTGCTGGGAAGGAAGCCCACCAATCTGGGTCATGTTTAAGTAATTCAGGGGGAATCTAATCACAACCTGGTGACTTCCCAGTTTTAAAGATTGTAGTAGACTAACTACTTCCTTTTTTGAGACGTCTGGCCAGCTTGGAAACGTTGAACTCTTTCTGTTAAGTGGGATATCGAGTTTATCCCTAGCTGTCGCAAAGACTTTTTCATAATGCTGTTCCCACAGAGGGGGGAACGGGAGGTACATGATCTACTTAAGAGTTAGAGGTCTTATGTTCATGCCAGAAGTCTGTAAGCTTCATTTTTTTAAGCAAGAGATATTATTTTTGAGCATTCTTTCTTACAGAATTAAACTACTTTACCTGTCCAAAACTGTTTTAGTCAAAATTGGAGCAAAAAAGTTGATTAGAGCCGGATGGGAGGAGTATGCAGACGAAATTACAGTACTGGGAGTTTTGGATGTTGCTGACACAATCCAATTCACTTCTTCTTTCCTCATTATTTCCCTAGCTTCTATTTCCCCCCCCCCCCAATTTACTCCTAATTGTAGACATTGAATGTCCTACTTTTGTTTTGCACAATGTAGAGGTTTTGGCGGGGATGGAATTTGCTTTAGCCCAATAAATCCTTCAGAAAGTGAGCACTTCCTCAAGGAAGCTAGTCAGGCCCTGATGATTCCCCCCCCCCCTTGTAGTCAGAAGTGGCTAGGAATCTATAAACCCCCATAAACATGTGAACATGCTAGGGTTGCCAAATCCGAAGTTCTTACCTTCAGACTGATATGGGGAATTAGCTTGCATTTTTATACAAGGAGTGCAAAACCAGGATCTTTTACCTAAAGAGGCCACTGTGAGTAGTGAGTTTCAGCAAGAAAAAGGATGACAGAAAACAGATTTAAAGATTTAAAATAACATGGTGTTTATTGAGGGATTTGGTACAATAGTATGTGTGTGTGTGTGTGTGTGTGTGTATGTGTGTGTTGGGAGGGGGACTTATCCTAAGCAAGTCAATCAATCAATCAATAGACCTTTAATGGCATATACAACATTAAAATCAGAGACAGTACATGACACAATCAGCTAAAAGTCTGAGATAATTATAAAATCATAAAACGGAGTTTCCCACGTTTTTCACTCTTATCACATCAACTAAAAAATTGGCCACTGCCACAGTAATCTCTACTGTTGTATCATTCAATAGAATTTGACATTTTATTTTTAGGAAGGTGATGTTTACCCTGCAACCAAGTATTTAACCATTTTTCCCTAGCAGATGCATGCAACGAACAGTCTAACACTATGTGATCAATTGAATCAAGAGAGATAGAGCCGCAGTCACATCTCCGTTCGTGCTTAGGAATATTTTGAAACCTACCATACAGTATTTTTGATGGAAAGGCATTTACTCGTGCAAGGGAGAAAGCTCTTCGATGGCTAGGACTAAAGTACTAACAAATACTTAATCAAACCACAGATAAATAGCATGTTCTTTACCCAAACTAACAATATAACAGCAACAACCAAAAATCAATCAGGGCTGAGTTCCTTTTTAAGCTAAAGGGGTAAATATGGGGAATAGGACAGAGGAGAAGTGGAATCCATTCGGTTAGAGGTGTCAAGTCTTTCGGATGTGAGGTCTTTGTAGCAGAAGGGAGCAAAGTCTCATCTCTTTATGTAGTGCAGTGTGGGCTTGAAAAAAAAATGGAGAATGGCCAAGATGGGGAGCAAAGAATATACTTGTCCTAGTCTGTGTAGAAATGTGGATGGAAAAAGAAAGGATTGTTGGGAGCCTGATTTGCAGTCTAATTTGTAGCCAGGATCAGACTAGGATTTCTGGCTCTGAAGCCAGGCTAGCTATACTGTTTTAGACCGATAGCATTGCAACAGGGGATGAAGGAATACTTGGGAGTCTGAAAACTTATCAGGAGAAAACTATACAACTAATTAAATTACTGGGGAAAGGCAGCAGGAAGGAAAGTTTTCGATTGAATTATAGTTCAGAATTACAACGATGCTGAGTCATATATATTCAGGTGGACCTTTAGGACAATAGAAACATTTGAATTGGAGGTTCCAGGCTGTCACAGGACACTTAACATCTCAATTGTGTTAGTGGTCAGTGATTGCATACCATGTAAAAGACAATACGGGGAGTGGCCTGGTGTGGCCTAGTTGTTTTCATCCTGTTGACACCCTTGTACTCCCTGATTTCTTCCATAAGGGCTTCCTTAAAAGTTGATGTCGCTGCAAGATCCATTAGAGCCGCAAAACATAGAGATTGCTCCCCATACTCTGTGCTTGGGCTGCACAGGGTTACATGTGCAGTACATACATTCAGGCCGGATGGGAGGAGTATGCAGACAAAGGGTGGAGGGTGGCAACATCTTTAAAGGTTTGATGGTGACTATGAGGGAAATACAATAGTTATACACTGAGACTTAATTCTTGGAGACAATGAACCATATGAATAAAACTGTATCCTAGAATGGAATTGAAACAAGAAAATAGTGTGCAATTTAAGCCCCAATCAAGGTTTGGCCCTTTGAGAATGTTAATATGCTATAATATCTGATAGCACATAATTAAACATGAAATTATAGAAACTGGGAAACATTGTCATGCTCTTGATGGAAAGGATGGTGGTGGTAACAGTTCATTCATGCTGGCAACCTTGTATTTCTCTAGGGAGATGTGTGGATCTGTATGGAACTCATGGACACATCACTGGACAAATTCTACAAACAAGTATTAGACAAAGGCTTAACGATTCCTGAAGACATCCTAGGAAAAATAGCTGTCTCAGTGAGTTTTTCTTCTAATCCTCTTCTAGAGGGGTTTAGTGTCCTTTCCCACTTTTACTGAGATTAGTTTAGCCCACATTTGTCTATCAGGTGTTACTATACATAAATGTAAAAGTAGATGACGAAGCAACGGCAGCTGCTTCTCTTTAGAGGTTTGTTTATTAATGAGCTACATTTCCTTAGAGTAACCTGGAATGTGAGGAAAACAACAGACTTTATGACAGTGGTGGTGGTGGTGGTGAAGAGTCTTACGGAAATAATGTTAGAGAAAGGTGAGTTTGGGGAGACTCAGTAGGAAAGAAATTATGGTAATAATTACTAATTGTGGTTCTTCTGCATCATGCATAGTCTGGTCCTTGGCTACAAAGGAGAAGTACTATTAGGGAGGCAGCTTGAATACAGGTGGTATCTGTGTATGTGGAAAATCTGAAGGGTGCAAGAGGTCTGGAATTCTATGATCCCTTGGAACTCAGCCATCAAGTTTCTAAATAGAGATGCAAGAAGTTGGGTGCACCCTGATCCTGGAAAGTTGTTCCAGTCAGTCTCTATTTTGAACATGCTCCTAAGGGTTGTTGGAACAAAAATGATTACTATGAATCATGGCGCACCCTCCTCCTTCCACTCTCTTGTCTGTTAATTGTCAATATGCCAAACTTAAGACTGTCTCCACACCAGCTTAGTGTTTAAAGGAGTGTGAACTTGTGGCCTGACTGTAGGGTTGCCAAATGTAAAAAACCTACCGGCGGGGGAGTGTCCTGCTGCTCCGGGAGCCGTTCGGGACTGCGTGTGCGCGCGCCGCCGGAGCGTCACCGGAAGTGACGTCACACGCTGGGCGGGGCCATGTCATTTGAGGGGGAAACTCTTTGTTTCCCCCTCAAATGGCGTGGCCCCGCCCCCAGCGTACGACGTCACTTCCGGTGACGCGCATGCCGGGGAGGGGTTTCCCCCGGGCCCCGATTCCCCGGCGTTGGGGAACGGAGCCTCCGGGGCGGGGGATTTCCGCCCTACCGGAGGAGTTGGCAGCCCTACCTGACTGTGATCCTGTTGCTTCAGTCAGTTACAGTTCACTCTTTGTTCGTTGTGTTTTCAGATTGTAAAAGCACTAGAACATCTACATAGCAAGCTCTCTGTAATTCACCGAGGTAAGGATGGCGGCTGTTGCATGTTCTAACAGATCCTGGAAGTAGTGGAAGTATAGTATGTTTGGTGCTGTATTTGATTAGCTACAAAATCGCACAAACATAGCTTTTGTCCTCTGTTCAAACATCTAGGTACCCAATGCTTGGGTGTCTGCACCTGTTTTCTGGGCACAGTTCATGGTGCTGGTTTTGATGCCTCAGTACAGTACAGCCTTATTTGACCTCTTAACAGGTCAGTGGACTCAAAGAGCATGTGGGGCAACTTGGGAGTCTGCAGCAGAAGAGGGGAATTGGCAGAAATTGCCCAATGCTGCTCTTCTGCAAATGGAAAAAGGGTCTGGTTCAAGGAGGTGCTACTGCATCAGTAGAATGATACCAGAGGATCCAAGCCTTTGCTGTCCCAGACCTGCATCTGTGATTGGGTTAGAACTGTACTGACATACATTATAGATAGATTGTAAAGATTACTGAGGTGAGTTAATGTGAAGCATTTTAACTCGTAAGAAAATCTGTGGAAATGCTGTTGGGTTACTATTGTTGTTCATTTGGGAAATTTCTATGTCACCTTTCCAGGTAACCTGCCTGAGGCAGTTAACAAAATAAAACACAACAAAAACATAAAACATAATGGAAGATATTGAAACCCAGCATTCCCAAACAGTAAGAGCGTAAAAGAATTTAAGACATGGAGCACCTTAAGATACAGGCCCGTGGCCAGGATTTTTTAAATAGGGGGGGCCTTTTAAAAAGTTGGAGGGCACTAAAATTTGTGGCCTCCCCCCACTTCTCCCTCAAAACATTTAAAGGATCCTTTTAAATGCTTTAGGGGAGAAGCGGGGGCCGCGTGCCTGCACTCCAAGTGCGCCTGCACTCTAAGCACCCCCCCCCATTTAGTTGCTTTTCTCCTCCTTTTCACCCTGACTGCCTTTCTCCCCTGTGGGGACTCACAGCAGCCCCCATCCTGCTCCTCGCCCCCTTTTATCCTCACATCAACCGTGCAAGGTAGGTCAGGTGGCTCTGGCCACCCTGCCTCGGATTCTGGCTGGAGACGGAGAGCCTTGCCACCGGGCTGGCCATCTGCACAGACCCCTCGCCAGAGGCCCCTCGGGCAGCAGAGGTGAGGCCGCACCGGCTCGAGGGCCCGCTGGCACCCCTGCAGAGGCTGCTGCGGATCTCTCCCCACCTCCGGCTGGTGGCGCAGGACTGCTTTGCAACGGACCAGCCTGGGCAAAGGCTGCCGGTCGGCCTTGGCACAGTTGGTGCACCTGGGGCACTCCTGCTGCTTAGCCTGCGCAGGTGGAAGGGAGGACAGCCAGCCCGGGCCTGGGGCATCGGAGGGTTTTCTTCTCAGGCTGCGTCTTCTCCAGGATCGCTGCTGCTTGGGGGGGGGGGGGAGGCAAGCTGCATGTTGGATTTCCAGGGCCGGGAGGGTCTGGCCTGGAAATGGGCAGCTTGCTCCCCTGGAAGGCATTTTTTCCAACAGATGGCAGCCCCACCTCACGGGCCACAGGCTCCACAGGGCTTGAGGGCCTCCCCTCCCTTCTCCCTCCTTTTAAATACTTTGGGGGAGAAGCGGGGCCACGCATCTGCACTCCAAGCAGCAAATTCGTGGCTTGGAGTGCAGGCGCTCGCGGCCTCCCCCTGCTTCTTCTCAAAAGTTGTGAGGTCTTGAGAGGAAGTTGAGGGGGGTGGGGGAATTCTATAGCAATAATCTCTTAAGATGGCTCTTAAACATTTCTCAGGCTAAAAACAGAATAAAAACATTTTTTGCAAGCATTCAGCTGCTAAATTGAAATTCTGGGTGAACAGAAACAGTGAAAATAGTGTAAGTACCAGTTGAAACTGAAGTGGAAAGGCATTCTTCAGATGAGATTCCACCACTGAAAAAGCCTTCTGTTTGGTTACCTCCTGCCTCACCTCTGAATGTAAGGGTATATAGAGCAGGGCTGGTGAGGAGGATCTTTTTAATAGAAACTTTATTAAAATTTCACAGAATAACAAGTAAAACATCAAATCATAACATTAATGACCACATACAGTAATATTATATAAAATAGTAATACAGAATGGTTGCTTCAATATGAAAGTACTTGAAATTTTACTACATTTTAGTTGATGGGTTGGATGGTATGGGAGGAAGTACCCTTCAAGGTAAGAACCAGCACTTTGAATTGTGCCCAGAAACAGATCTGACCCAGGGCAGATGATCCCTGTAGCCATGATTATTTTGCACACCCCTATTATGCTTTTCAGTATGATTTGTAAGCTGCATTGTTATATGTGGGTGGGTAGAGCTGTTCTCCGGAGGACAAGTCTACCAATATAGTGGACTAGAGTGAGTAGACCTGTTCTCTGGAGGACAGGTCTACCAATTTAGTGGAAAGGGGTGGGTAAAATTCGACTTGATTCTGTTTTATCTTATAATGTTTAAATTATTCTTAAAATATAGTTGAAATTTAATTTAAAATAATTTATTCTGAGATTTTTTTTGAGGTTATGGAAGTAATCTAATTTACATGTCAAATGTAGACTCACAATTGTAATGCTGCTAGCTTTTTTCTCTCACGAGGTAGAATTTCTGCTCACAACACTGTGGAGCTTAGAGGGAACATTGCCTGTATCCCACCTCTGACAATAGCCTGGCTGCTGCATTTTGGACCAACTGCAGTTTCTGGACCATTTTCAAAGGCAACCCCACATAGAGTGCATTACAATAATCTAACCTTGATTTAATGAGAGTTTGGGTCATCATGGCCAGATCAGTACTATAGCTTGAAAAATAATAATCTGTTGTATTGATTTCCATAGTTTTCCATTTTAAGTGTGGAGATATTTTGTATACTTGGTCTTGCAATAAAAGTTAATGTTACCAAGTACTGTTCATGATAAAGATACCTTTATAGCAGTGAAGTGTTACACTCAGTCCCAGTTAACTTCTACCAAGATAAAAATCAGGAGCTAGCCTCAAGAGTATACAGTCTTCTCTGCAGCCCTTCCCTTACCTAAACCAAATGCTTTGTCTTACTTCTAACCCAGGATCTGAACTCTGTCTCTTAAATGAATCACCTGTATCCCCCGTTAATCAGAGTGTTTTAGCAGGGGCAGGACAACTTGGGCCAGGCAGAGGAGAGACTCGGGGAGGGGTACTTTCCTGAAGCTGACTCCTTATTTCTTAGCTGTGGTTTATGAGGGAGCCAGAATTTTCTTCAAACTGACTATTCCTCTAAGAATTCTATAACAATTTTGGTTGGAACAAGTGCCAACTTTGATCCTATGAGACCAAGGAAACAGCAGGTCTCTGAAATCCTGGGATTTTGAGTTGAATTGTGTTTATTGACCCCTGGTCACTCAATAATAACCAAGCTTTGACTAGGTATTGCACTGCTGTTGCACTGTAGCTGTCATTTGCATCTGGCTTGCCATGTCCACACAGGAGAATCCAATTACAAATGACTGCAGCAGTGCAAGAACCAGAGCACTGTCTAGCAATATGTGGATATTGCCTTTGTATGCTTCCATTTCTGCCATGACCCACTCGCTGCGAACAACAGGTTTGTAATCAATGTCTGTGTGTTCCACCTTGCAGATGTAAAACCATCCAATGTACTGATAAATACACTGGGACAGGTAAAAATGTGTGACTTTGGAATTAGTGGTTACCTCGTTGACTCCGTGGCTAAAACAATGGATGCTGGCTGCAAACCTTACATGGCAGTAAGTGCAAAGTCTTGGGACATCTTCAATGCAATCTTATTCAGGTGCTCAAAACTGTATTGCTTAACTCTATAAATTTACAGGGGCTGATGATTTTGAGAATCTGGGTCCTCGGGCCCTGTTTTTAGCCCTAGACTGATTTCATGCATAGATTAGTCGCTGTTGTTATAATTTCCTGGAAATTCAAAATTATGTTTCAATCTGTGTTTATCTTTCTTCTCCCTAGCCTGAAAGAATCAACCCAGAATTTAACCAAAAGGGATACAGCGTCAAATCTGATATTTGGAGCCTGGGAATTACAATGGTATTATTATGTTACTGTTACAAAGGCCTAGTAACTACATCTGTTGATTAACTAGGAATATTTCCGTTCTCACTCACTCTACTGGTTGAAAGTATTTTGTAATCCAGACCTAGCTGAGACTAACAAACCATTATAAATTCCACATCTGTCCTGTTTAAAAGGCAGAACACTCAGTAAAAATAAAAGGCAGAACACTCAGTAAAATGCAGAACACTGGTCTTGTTGAACGCACGGGCCTTAGAATTTTGTATGTTCAGAAATAGTGATGGATGGGACGTGTGTGTGTGTGTGTGTGTTTCTTGTTGCCTCCATCAGAGACCTGCTTCTGGTTATGTCCTTTTTTTCAATTTTTACCTCTTGACCAATAGACTATGAATAACCCTGAGAAGGTTGTGGTAGTAGCCAAGCACTGCCTATCAGAAAGGCAGGGTGATAAAACTCCCAGGTAGGTATAATAGGATATGAAGAAGTGTGTGTGAGAGAGGGAAGGGGAGAAGACGTCACTGTTAAGGATCATTTTGAAGGTATATTAACAGCGGTTTTCTGACTTTCTACCATCAGGGACACCCTGTGAATTGCCGAGGATTCTTAGGATGGGGGAGGGCTGTAGTTATATTCACGTGGGGAACAAGACCATACACTGAACATGAGTCAGCAGTGTGATGCGGTGGCTAAAAAGGCAAATGTGATTTGGGCTGTATCAACAGAAGTATAGTGTCCAGATCACATGAAGTGATGGTATCGCTTTACTCTGTTCTGGTTAGACCTCACCTAGAGTATTGTGTTCAGTTTTGGGCTCCACAATTTAAGAAGGATATAGAAAAGCCGGAACGTATCCAGAGAAGGGCAGTGAAGTTGATTAGGGGTTTGGAGACCAAGTCCTATGAGGAAAGGTTGAAGGAGCTGTATATGTTTAGCCTGGAGAGGCAACGACTGAGAGGTGATATGATAACCATCTTCAAGTACTTGAAGGGCTGTCATATAGATGGTGCGGAGTTGTTTTCTGTTGCCTCAGAAAATTGGACCAGAAAATTGAAATAAGAAGAGTTTTCAACTAAACATTAGGAAGAACTTCCTGACAGAATGGTTTCTCAGTGGAGCAGGCTTCCTCAGGAGGTGGTGGGCTCTCCTTCTTTGGAGGTTTTTAAATAGAGGCTAGATGGCAGATCATGAGAGAGAGGGCAGGAAGTGCTTAGTTCTTGTGGCCCTTTCTTACACGCCCAGGGAAATGCTGATTGCCATTTTGGAGTCAGGAAGCAATTTTTCTCCAGGCCAGTTTGGCTGGAGATTCTGGAGGTTTTTTGTCATCTTCTGGGCGTGGAACAGTGTCAGTGTGTGTGTGTGTGTGGGGGTGGGTGGGTATTTGTGAATTCCCTGCATTGTGCAGGGGGTTGGACTAGATGACCCTGGAGGTTCCTTCCAGCTCTATGATTCTAAGCCTGGCCTGTTCAGCCCCGGTTGTCTCACCATGTGAGTTGAAAGTGTACATGAGAATACACACAGTGTTTTCTCATAGTACCTGAGAAGATTATAAGTAATGCCCAAGCTTTTATGAGGGAAGCTGTATCTTATTACCAGTCTTCTCATCTGAAGAACTTCCAATAATCTTCTGAGAAACACTGTGGAAAGGATACCTCAGCATGTATATACAATACATTTCAAAGGAGCAGTTTTAAAACTGGCTGGTTTTAAAACAGTGTGACACTTTTTTTTGGTTAAGGCTGAGCAGGTTGTTTTGCTGCTATTTTCTTGTAAGACTAAACTTGTTATTTTGAACTAATTGTCGAAAGTGTAGTGTCCCCCCCAAGAGTTCAAACTTTGTGCAATGGCAGCTTCTCTTGTTTCTTTTCATCACTAGTAAACCAAATTATTTTGAAGTAAACCCCCCCTGTGTTTAGATGGAAACTACTAATTCTAGGTGCTTCAGAATGTGTAGAGTGGGAAGATAGACCTAGCAGTTCGAAAGCAAGAAATTACAAGTAGATAAATAGGTACTGCTTTGTTGGAAAGGTAACAGCGTTCTGTGTGCCTCGGTGTCTAGTCATGCTGGCCACATGACCACGGAAACGTCTTCAGACAGTGCTGGCTCTTCAGCTTGGAAATGGAGATGAGCACCGCCCCCTAGAGTCAGATTCAACTAGCTTTCGAGCAAGGGAAACCTTTACATATGAATGCTAGCTTACCCCCTAAAGTTGCAGGTTTGGTTGTGGTAAGTTTGATCAATTTTGTAAATTTAGAACAGGGTTCTGGTACCTGTTGAACAGCAGTGTAAATTGAGGAGGGGGGGGGGTAATAACAGATAGCAGCCATTCTCCAGCATAGTCAGGTGGGAATGTTGATGTCTCCTTCTTTTAATGCTTCAGAAAGATGTGGAGGAGTTAGAGTACCTGTGTGTGTGTGTCTGTGTGTGTGTGTAAACTAGAAGAAACATAGCACACTGTGGCAGTACTTTACCTCTGTACTTGTTCAGTTGGCACTGTGCCTGCAGTAGGGCATTTGGCATTCTCAACAACCATAAAGTTTCTGTTGGCAGCAGAATTGTTGCAACAGCCTGGATGGGTGGGGTGGAGAGAGAGCCATGGCACTCTTCATTTTTCAGGGAGGCTGTGGGTACATGACACCAACAAGTAGAACAAGCCTTACAAACTACTGCTTTAATATTCCCAGAGACATGCTGACTCCACGGGCTTGTGCAGACTGTGCCTCAGAGGCACCTTCTGAGCCCACAGGGTGTAATTGTAGGAACCGCCCACAGATGGCAGCATAAGCTAAATTTATTAAGAATATGTGATCATCCTGGGAAGTGTTGTGTTTTGGTTATTGAAAATAAATTGTCTTTGTGTTTCCATTTCTGCCCCTCACCCATCTAGACTGAGTTGGCAATCTTGCGGTTTCCATATGATTCTTGGGGGACGCCATTCCAGCAGCTCAAACAGGTGGTAGAGGAGCCATCACCACAGCTCCCAGCGGACACGTTCTCATCAGAGTTCGTTGATTTTACCTCACAGTGGTAAGCTAGCCTTGGGAAAACCTTTTACACTCTCCCTCCCAAATTCCTGCCATGAATATTGCTTGTTCTTGTAAACCTGAGCCTAGATCATAGAAAGCAAGGCAATAGTCCGGTCATGCAGCCTAAAAGTTGATCTCCTCTCCTAGCATGAGTTCTGGGTGCGAAAGACTGGAAGATTACTTCTTAAAGGGGTTACTTGGAATTATGATGGCACTTGGGCATGAATAAACTTGTGAGTTTTCTCATGTGTATGAATCCTTGACAGTAATTCTAAGCTTTCCCTAGGAAAGAGCTCGTTTTCCTAGGAAGAAGGTAATCATATATAGTACTATTATAGTGCCTTTGAGTGTGGAAAACATTTCACGTATGTTATTGTGTTGTAATCCTTACAACAACTCTGTGTGGTAGATCCAGTGAGAGAGTAGCTTGTCTAAGGCTGCCTAGTGACTTCAGGAAGAAGCAGGATTTGAACCAAGAGAGTCTTAAAGCTTGCTGGCTTGGCTGCTGTACTTCGGAGTTGTATACAACAGTTGCTAAGGGAAACAGTTCTTTCCTTCCCCCTCTCCAGATCTTAAGTCAGGAGAAATATTGGCAACATGCTTTCCCCCTTGCATTGTTCTCTGTCTTGTATGACTTAATAGGGCTGGAATATTTGTGAGCACCTTTTACCTGTGTCCTTGCAGGCCTGATTGTTATATAGTTGTTCCCTGCTGGCACTGCAGCTGCATTGTGCTGTCATAAAACCCCCTTGGGTCTGGATTACTCGTCCCCTGGGCCGACATTAAAAGTGCGCAGAGCTTGAAGAATCACTGGTCTTCTGCTGTGTTGCACTTAGAGAACTTTTTTTTTTTTGCCCTTTGAAGGGCTCCCTATGGATTAGTGTGAAGACAGATGCAACACTGGCTTATGGGAGAAGATATCTTAAGAGTCACTGAAGTGTTTTGGATGTCCATGTGGCAAAACGGAAAATATATGTATTACTGCCTTTTTGGAGTAGTGGTGGCATCTAGTGGTGATTTTACGCTAATACAATGTATCTGAGGAAGCATGCATGCACACGAAAGCGCATCCCTTGGATAAAATTTTGTTGGCCTTAAAACTCAAAGTTTGTTCTACTGCTTCAGACCAACATGGCTGCCTACCTGAATGCAAAATTATTATTGTTGCTGTGCTTATTATGATTGTTGTTGTTGTTGTTGTTGTTGTTATTAGCAGGGACCATTGAGGGTGGCTGGTAAAAATGCTTGGTCTGCCTCATAGATCAGATTTTGGGTTAAAACCTTTGCAGGATTGGGTTGATGGGCAGGCTGTCAGGCAGCATAATTCCATTTCCCCCTCAGACATTTTAAAGTAGTGAGAGAGCAGATACATATCAAATGTCCTTCTAAAAGCATGGTGAGGAGACTTGTTTCGGTCTACAAATTTCTTTGTCAGAATGCTTAACTAGTCAGTCTGTACTCACCTGCAGCTGCTGAGGGTATGGCCATGACCCTTGCCATGGAAGTAACTCCATTGTTTTGAAAAAGCAAAAGCTGTTGAGGGAATTTGGCAAAGTACATGTGTATACGTCAGCTAGCTCTACTTCCATGTTTTCTTCCTGTGCTTAGATGTGTGTGTCTGGGTGAACTTTCCTGAAGGAATGAATGTTTCCTGTAGCTTTCAGGCACTGTCATGCTGACTGTCTACGTGGGAAGCTAGGCAGTATGTCGGAGTTCTAAGCCTTCTTTCTTTCCGGAAAGATGCCTTGTTCAGTGTCTGTGCAGTTGTGGGTGAGGAGAGAGGACAAAAGTTTAACATGGAGCTATCCCTCGGATATATCTGCATTAAGACAACCTGTAGTCTGGGACCTGTTTGATTTTATTCCAGTATTTTATGGAACGACTATGGTAGGCAGTTGATGAGAATGAAATGAAGGAAGGAAAGAAAAGAAAAGAAAAGTAAAGTAAAAGGCTGTCATCAAAAGGGAATGTAGCCATTGGGATCCTGAGGGTTGCCTCAGTGGTTGGGCCTCCTCTTGACAAAGTGGATTGTCTGCCTTTCAGTGTTACTTGGTAGCATTCCTCTTTCATTCTTTTTTGAGTACGTTCCCCTCAGATCTCCATTTAGAGCCACTTGGGAGTGTTCTTGTGCCAGTCATTTTCAGTACTGGCCTGTGCTTGCTAGGTGTATAGGAAAAAGATGTTGTGCATGGTGATCAAAGAAATCCTGGTAGCTCAATTAATATAAAAGAAAATACAAGTACTGGGGATTGAAGGCCAGCTGAAGGAAATTGCCATGTGGAAGGTGATTTCAGAGGTTGATTTGTGGTCAGTGATGGGAAACATCATCTCAGACTCTTCCCACACATCCTCCTTCTGTTCATTTCTAATTCCTTTCTTGTTTTAGGCGGCATTTTAGCCACACTCTCTGCTGTAAATAATACCTGAAGTGGCATGCAGTGTTAAAACAAAATGTAACATAAATGTAATATTAAAACATAGCATTTAAAAAAGGATGGACACAACAGTACAGGAAGAAAAGAGCTACAACGGGGGTGTGACTGGCTGAAAGCTTAAGGAGTTTAAGTACAATCCTGAATAAGATAAAATAAAAGGCAAGGCATAACATAACATAAAATTCACTAAAGTCATACAGAACACAGGCATCCAACATGTGGCCCATGGGCCTAATGAAGCCGCCTGAGATTTTTAATAATAATTTCTTTGAGCTGTTAAAGTTTAATTGCATCACAGTTGAATCATGAACCTGGGGCATTATGCAGATATGCCAACAAAAGGAAAGTAGGTATGCATCTAGCCTCCAATGTCCTTAATTCATGTTTGTGTCGCATCCAATATATGCCACATGTGGAGACCCTCTTCTCTGATATTCAGTGGTGATGCTGCCACATTGAGTGGCTAAGATTGGGGATGGGTGCATGATGCATAACCTCATAGAACATTTGGTCCACTATGAAAAACTTGGATGCTACAACATAGAACATCCACTGAAAAATATATATCAGATGATAATGGAAAGCAGTACAAAAGGAGCCATAGGGCAGAAGAAGTTAAAAAAAGTCTACAATAGTAATTGTACATCATTTAAAACCCTGGAAAAATAAAAACTCCTGGCTAAATGGAGGAACATGCACTCTTTGGGATATTGTTCCCATATCATTTAAGGATTTACATGCTATGACCAGTATCTTAAATTTTTGTTTGAAAATTAACTGGCAGCTAGTAGAGCACACTTGAACACATGAAGCTGCCTTATACTGAGTCAGATTGTTGGTCTATCAAAGCCAGTATTGTCTCCTCTGACTGGCAGCGGCTTTCCAGGGACTCAGGCTGAGGTATTCCAGGGTTGGGGATAGAGAGTGGCGGTAGGAGAGCGGGTGTTGTCCCGCCACCCTTTGGTGTGCAGGGTGCCCCAAGAGGCAATCCTCTCTCCTATGTTGTTCAACATCTATCTGCACCCTCTTGCCCAGGTGGTGCAGAGTTTCTGGCTGGGTTGTCACCAGGACGCTGATGACACCCAGCTGTATTTGTTGATTGACAGCCAGGTGGCTGTTGCCCCATCTAATTTGGCTGTGGGATTGGAGATTGTGGCTGCATGGTTGAAACAGTGCTGGCTGAGACTGAATCCCTTAAAGACAGAGGTCCTCTTGTGGCCGGGGGGTGGGTGGGGAGCAATCTGAGGTTGGGGTGTCAACTCCGAATGCTTGACAGCATGCTGCTGATACCAACAACAACCATCAGGAACTTGGGTGTGCTCCTGGACTCCTTTTTATCAGTGGAGGCCCAGGTAGCACATGCTGCCAGACTGGCACTTTTCCAACTTTGCCAGATCAGGCAACTTCCCTCTACCTGTCCAGCACCAACTGCGCCACAGTGATCCACTCAGCGGTCACCTCAAGACTGGACTACAGTAACTGACTCTACGTAGGGCTACAATTGAGGCTGACCCAGAAATTACAGTTGGGTACCAAATCCATTTCAAGGTTTTGGTTTTGACTTTCATAGCCCTTAATGGGCTGGGACTAACCTACCTACAGGACTGCCTCACCCGGTATGCCCCCTGAAGAGCTCTATGCTCGGGAGAGCAAAACTTACTCAAGATCCCTGGCCCAAAAGAAGTCCAGCTGTTCTCAACTGGGACCAGGGTCTTTTCAGCCCCAGCTTGGTGGAACTCTCTCCTTAGTAACATCCGCACTCTGCAGGCCCTTGCTCAGTTCCACAGGGCATGTAAAAGGGCTATGTTCCACCAGGCCTAAGGTTGAGGACAGCAACAGTTCCTGACCATGGCTTCCAACTGCAGTACTAATCTCCCCCGTTATGTGATCCACCCATGGAGGGAGCGACGTTATATGCATGCCATTGATTGTTGAAGGACGTATGCTGTATGTTCTTTTATTCATTTAGTCATTGTTTTTATTTTTATTATTATTATTTTACTATTTTTCATTTTTTTTCAATTTTACTATTATTAATTTATTCATTGTTTTAAACTGCTCATGTTTGCTATGAGGTACAGTGCCCTGAGCCCTCTGGGGGAGGGCTGTTTAGAAATTTAGATGATGATGATTTCATAGAAGATATTACCTGGTCTTTTAAACTGGAAGTATCAGGGATTGAAACTGCAGCCTTCTACATGCAAAGCAGATGCTCTACCACTCACCTGTATTGGATGAAAAGGAGAAGTAAATTTGTGTCATCAGCTTATTCAGCTGAGACTGAATCTGGAGAAGACGGAGGTTCTGTGGCTGGGGGGGAAGGGCTCCCGGACTGGGGTTTCAGTTTCCAGCCTTTGACGGGGTGCCATTAACACCAATGCACTCTGTCGGGAGCCTTGGTATGACCTTGGATGCTTCCTTGTTCATGGAGGCACAGGTCACCAGTACTGCCAGACTGGCGTTTTCACCTACGCCAGGCACGGCTGCTGGCCCCTTTCCTGTCACCCCCTGACCTGGCCACAGTAATCGATGCAGGGATCATCTCCAGACTGGACTACTGTAACTCGCTTTATGATGGCCTGCCCTTAAGACTGACCCAAAAGCTGCAACTGGTTGAGAATGCGGCGGTGCAAGTCCTCGCGGGAATGCCATGGACAGAACCTATACAACCTGTGCTGCGCCAGCTACACTGGTTACCGGTGGAGTACCGAGTCAGGTTCAAGGTATTAGTGTTGACTTTTAAGGTCTTGAGCAGTCAGGGACCCAAGTACCTTCAGGACTGCCTCCTCCAATATGTCCCCAGAAGAGCACTGAGATCCGCTGATACCAACTTACTGGGGATCCCCAGCCCTAGGGAGGTCTGACTGTCCTCCACCAGGGCCAGGGCCTTTTTGGTCCTGGCCCCGGCCTGATGGAAATCTCTGCTGAATAACATCAGGGCCCTGTGGGATCTGATGCAATTCCGCAGGGCCTGTAAGGCAGAGATGTTCTGCCAGGCTTTTGGCTGAGGACAGCAACAGTTAAAACCGGCATCCTCCTTTTAAAAAACACTTTTGGCCCCGTGTTCCCTTCTCCACCCTGCTGCACAGAGAGCATGGCAGCTGGCAAAAAGGATTGATCGCCATCTGGACTGGTTGTTTTATTAGTGCACTGTAATTTATCATGTTGATTGTATTTTATCTGTTTTAATGCCATAAATCGCCCAGAGCGATCCAGAAATCTTAATAATAATAATAATAATAACAACAATCATAATAATAATGACTCCTTACCCCCACATTTCCAGATGACCTATCACAGAGAGTTCCTGTAGGTGTTAAACAGGGATGGAGAGAAGGTGGAATCTTGTAGGACCCATAGCATAGGTGCCATAGGGTCACGCAATAATATCCCCACACCACCTTTCACTTCCAGTTTGTTAGAGAGGAGTGTTACCATCAGAGATACCCACCCCAGATAGCCAGTCCAGAATGGTATCATCGTCAAAGGCATCAGTAGACCCTGAATAACCCTGGAGAGCCAACAGTGGTGTGCTTACCTTGTCTTTTTCTGGACTAAGTCTGTCAAGATGACCAAGGCCATTTCATTTCCAAAACTGGGTCAGAAGCTAGACTGAGATGATCGTGATAATTTGTTTCATCCAAGAAGAGCTGCACATCACCACCCATTTGAACATGGTTGCTGCAAAAGGATATATTGGTATATGGAAGACAGGTGTTAAGATCATTCAGGTCCAGGAAGAGCTTTTTTATGGCTGCCTTTTTAAAAATGCATGGGACCACAGTGGCTCAGAGGTTAAGATGCTGAGCTGCAGACCGGAAGGTCAGTAGCTCAGCAGTTCGAGACCCTAGTGCCGTGTGATGGAGTGAGCTCCTGTCTCTGGCCCCAGCTCCTACCAACCTAAGAGCTTGAAAGGAAGAAATTGCAAGTAGGTAAATAGGTACCGCTTCGGTGGGAAGGTAACAGCGTTGTGCCTTGGCATTTAGTCATGCCAGCCACATGACCACAGAAAAGTCTTTGGAGAGTGTTGGCTCTTCGGCTTGGAAACAGGATGAGCACCACCCTCTAGCATCGGATTCGACTGGCTTTCGAGCAAGAGAAACCTTTACCTTTTATAAATGCATCCTGGACCAAGCTGGTTATTTGTCTTTGGCATGATGTATTGAAGGTCAAAGAAGACGGGGACGGCAAAGGATGAGATGGTTAGACAGTGTCATAGATGCAACAAACATGAAATTGAGCAAACTTCAGAGGACGGCGGAAGACCGGAAGGCCTGGCGTTATCTGGTCCATGGGGTCGCAAAGAGTCGGACTCGACTGTGTGACTGAACAACAACAACAACATTGAACTGACACAGGTTAAGATTGCACATAGGAGTGGTAGGGTGCATCTCTCCAAGCAATTTGTCAGCATTCTCGTATCCTAAAATTCTTCTGAGCCACTGCAGCTAGGCTGTGCTCAGCATATGCTATGTTCTGTATATGCATGATTTTTTTTAAAGTCTGGAAAAATGTCGTATCAGTTTGGAATAAAGCATGAGTTAAGGCACTTTTGTCAGTGGAACAGAACATCTCTGCATCCCCCCACCTTCCTGCTGCAACCCACCAAGCTTCCCAGAGCGCTGCTTCCTGGGGATAGGGAACCCTCAAGAATAGTCAGGTTTCTTCCCTATATGTTGAATTAATTTATGCAGAGTAAGAAAACAGCATAACTAGAACCTGATCTTTCTTTTGGGTTGGCTTTGATTCAGATTTTGTACAGTCTCTCCCTCTTCTGTCAGTTTTGGTAAGGAAAGGCAATGTCTGTGTGAATCACTGGTCTTTGTCATTACACAGCATAAGAGTTTTCCGTAAACCTGAGTTCAGAGATAATGTAACAAGAAATTGGCAGGAAATATCCCTTCAGTAAGCATCCTTCACTTCCTCCCTGGCTTGGCAAATCCCAGAAGAGGGTGTGTTTATTATAGCTGATGATCACACTTTTGTTTCTCTCAGTGTGACACTATACCTCCTTCCCCTCTCTGCTAAAGCATGTGTACGTGTCAAAATCCTTTCAAGTCACTTCAAGCATCTTCCCCATAAATACCGTGTCAGGAAGTAAGTTCCTATTACATCCTGTCTTCAAAGCTATTTTCTGCCGGAGGGAGACGGAAATAAATAATATTTTACCCATTTACCTCACTCTCCCCTCACAGACAAACTTTGCCATTGTAGTAAAGCTATTTAGAGAAAGGATGATGATCATGATCCTTAAGAGCAATTGTAATACCAAGATATATGTCCTGGTGAAGGGTTAAGCAGAGCAAAGATGAAGGGAAGGTAATGTGACCAAGTGTTCTTCAATGCCAATAAATTAATGTTATATACATCTGTTTGTCCCATGAGAAACATCTTCAGATGGAGAATAGTGGGGCTGGAAATGTCCTGAAAAAGAAAGGCGTATTTAAACTACAACCATTCAGCAATTTCACAACATTTGAACTGTCATGGTCTCCCCACAAGAATTTTGGTGAAAATGCTGGAAATAATCAGTAGAATTGACAGAATTGTGGTTCCTAAATTCTATCTGCCCAGGGCTTTGTCTTTTTGTCTTCCATACAGCTTTCACCCCTTCCTGAAGGAGATCATATGACACCTCAGTCTATCAAAAGAGGCAAAGTTGCCCTGATATGTTTTGTCTTTTAATTCCCTAAAATGAAATACAGAAGCATTATCAAGACTGTTCCCAAATGTTATTTCCCAGTATTTGTTGAGAGTGCCATGGCTAGGATGTTTCATTTATTATTATTCTCTTCCTAATCAGTATACCATAATCTGTTTCTTATGAGGCTTTTGGTACTGAGCAAGTATTCTTCTCCTCCCCCCCCAGGGGGGGGGGTTTGTCACTGATATATGCTGTGGGTTTTTTAAAATTTTTGTTATATTGAATAAAATATATAATTGTCCTTTTTTTTCTTTAAAGCTTAAAGAAGAATTCTGAAGAAAGGCCAACATACCCTGAACTAATGGTGAGTTTGTCTCAATGCAGACACAGCAGGGGTAGTCCTAAAATCATGGTTCAGAGAAAGTGTTGTTCTGGTGGTCAGATTGTGGATTCTGGTTCATTGTTTGCCATCAGCATGTGATAAAGACTTTTCCTTAATAGCATTTTTTGTTATTTGATGTACACTTAGAATGGGATCAGTCTGAGGATCTTAAAAGTATGTTTTCATGCAAAAATGATGCAGTTGTTGCTTCGCCACTGCATGGAGTCCAGCTACCTCAACATTGCATTTTTCCAGCTATTTTTGTTGTTCAGTCGCACAGTCGAGTCCGACTCCTCGCGACCCCATGGACCAGATCTCGCCAGGCCTTCCTGTCTTCTGCCGTCCTCTGAAGTTTGCTCAACTTCATGTTCGTTGCATCTATGACACTGTCTAACCATCTCATCCTTTGCCGTCCCCGTCTTCTTTGACCTTCATATAGTTCAATATTTTATCACCAGGAAAAGCCTCTTCCCTGCACTTACATCTTAATTGTCGTATTGATCGCAGTGTGGAATGCAGCTGTATGACTGTCAAAGGTTGTAAGACTACCATTCCTGTGTCCTTGTCATTTTGTAAAATATACATAAAGTTAATTTTTTTTCTTTAAAAAAAATCCCAAGAGGCGAGACAGTGCCATAATGCACTTAACCCAAACAATCATTTTGTAAATCCAAGACTTTATCAGGTGAGACAGAAGACACACACACACTTCATCCATCCCCAGTTTCATTTTGGGACATACTCCAAGGCATGTAATCCCTGCAGCAGCAGTTCTCAACTTTTATGCCTTCAAGGGAATTTTCCACCTTATCTGCAGAGGATCTTTTGGGCATACATGAACACACACATATATGGGACTTCTGCGCATTGCATGTCATCTACCATATGAGGATAATAATGCTGACATAGCCTGTGGCAGCAATGTAAAAATTACAGTAAGCTACATATTTAACGTGTTTTGAACACCTGAGAATACTGTAGAAGCAGGGCTATTTTGGGGCAGGAACGCACAGGAATGGAGTTCCGGCTGGCTCCTGAGTTGGCCACGCCCAGCAGGAACTCATTAGCATAATAGGGCACACCCAACAGCAGAAACTCATTAGGATTGGCTACATTAGGGGTGTGTGGCCTAAAATGCAAAGGAGTTCCTGCTACAAAAAAAGCCCTGGGTTTTGACAACAAACAAGGTAAACAGAATAAGAAGCAAACGGTGGGTGTGGCTGGATGACCACACTTCTGGTAACATGGGAGTGTGGCCTCATATGCTAATGACCTGTGCTGTCAGGGGTGTGGCCTAATACACTAAAGAGTTTCTGCTGTTGGGTGTGGCCAATTATACTAATGAGTTCCTGCTGGGCTTTTTCTACAAAAAAAGCCCTGTGTAGAAGTGTGACATAATAGTATTAGTGAAGTCTTAGCTATCATAATTCTGTGCACTCAGTACCTTTGCAAGGCTGCACCCTGGATAGAAGTCAGCAAGCTAGCTTTCAGGGAAGATTGTCTACCATAACTGATAATCTCATTAGTCAAAAAGTCACTGCATTACAGACATTCAAAACCCAAAAAACTCCTGTGATGATAGCCAACATTTTCACATTCTCTTCTCTGAAGCACCTGTGGAGCAGATTTATCCAGCTGTGAGGGTGTCTTGCTCTCCCCCCCCCCCTCCATGAAGGGTATCTTGCTTGTCTTTATACTTGGCACTCAGGTTACAATGACTCTGCAATGCCTCAGGTCAGCCACCACTTTAATGGCTCTTATTAAAGAGTGGGTTTGTTTCCTGTTGTCTTTCAAGTTTCTTAACAATTTACTGGAAATACTCTGCACGTCTATTTAAAAATGAAAATAATACTAGCATGTTAAGAAATTTCTGTGGCATTTCTGCACCATGGTCTGTAATGCCATTATGACAGGCTATATATAGATCTGCTTTTATGAACGGCTTTGTAGGCATAGAAAGGCCTGGATCCTTCCTTCCTTCCTTCCTTCCTTCCTTCCTTCCTTCCTTCCTTCCTTCCTTCCTTCCTCCTTCCTTCCTTCCTTCCTTCCTTCCTTCCTTCCTTCCTTCCTTCCTTCCTTTCTCTCTTTTTCTCTCTTTTTCTCTCTTTTTCTCTCTTTCTTTCTCTCTCTCTTTTTCTCTCTTTCTTTCTCTCTTTTTCTCTCTTTCTTTCTCTCTTTCTTTCTCTCTCTCTTTCTCTCTCTCTTTCTTTCCATATATTTAGACTCTCCCCCCACCCCTTTTGAATAGTGTTGTTTTACCAGGTGGCTTTTTAGCACTTGCAGGGTTCACCAGGGTAGATTATGAGGAAAGCGAGCTGCTACAGCCAAATGCCTGTTGGCAACCCTGCGCATTTCTGTTGAATTAGGATGTTGGATCACCTTTCAAACCTATCTCAACATTGTGGTATTTTATGGCTGACATTAATGTTGCAAGGTCCTGTGGTTTTGGACCCCCCCACCCCCTTTCCCATGGCAGTAGACATTGTGGTACTGGAACAGGCTAGCCTTCTTACGCCAAGACTGCTTCCTTGCTTTTCTGTGCAGTTGAGGTTTGAGATGGAAAATGAGAGGGTGACTCAGCCACTGAGAAAGAAAGTCTAATTTTCTTATTTGAACTCTCATTTCTCCTGCTTTATGCAGCGGTTTTCAGAATGCATGTGGGAGAACTCTGGGTTTTTTTGGAAGGTTATGAGGGGTTCCCCAATAAGAATATCATTAGTGGCAGACAAACTTCCCAGAAGGACTGATTTTCCAAAAGGATGTTGGTGGGAAACTGGTGGGCAACAGGCCCAGTAGCTAAACTGATAACTTTAATAAACTGACTCTGCTCCATAGAGCACATCCTGGGGACATAGAGGGGTGTGCTGCCATTTGCAACATAGAGGGGTGTGCTGTCAAACAGTTGTTCCTCAGCAGCCATGCAGAACTTTTTGAGAACAGGTTTGCAAGTATCTTTCTTTCATGTACATTATTCAGATTTCTACTCTCCATTCTTCTGGGTAACCAAGTTGATTTCAAGCAGGGCATGGTATTTTGAAACTAGCAGTGCAATTCTATGCGGAGTTACTCTAGTTTAAACTCATAGGGTTCAGTGGCTAGTCTGGAGTAACTCTGCATAGTATTGTACTATAGATGATGTGGAGATGCACCAAACCAAATGAGTTTCGTAGGTTTCTTTTTCCTAATGTGGCCTGTCAAGTAACAAGGCCATGGAGGCCAGAATAAGGTGCACATATATCTACAGATATATGTGCCGCATGATGGAGTGAGCTCCCATCTCTAGTTCCAGCTCCTGCCAACCTAGCAGTTCGAAAGCAAGACATTGAAAGTAGATAAATAGGTACCACTTCGGTGGGAAGGTAACAGCGTTCCGTGCGCCTTGGTGTTTAGTCATGCCGGCCACATGACCACGGAGACGTCTTTGGACAGCGCTGGCTCTTCAGCTTTGAAACGGAGATGAGCACTGCAACCCTAGAGTCGGATTCGACTGGCTTTCGAGCAAGGGAACCTTTACCTTTTTTTTATATCTACAGAAGGAATGATAGTAGTCTGCATATAAAATGTGTCAAAGAAAAGTAAGAGCTTAGATTGTTCTGCAATGTCTCCATTCACTGTTTTCCACATGACAGTGGGGGGAAGGATGGATAATGGAGTGGGGGATGCTAGTGGTGGCCTTCTGCTTTTTATGTTGAAAGATAAATTGGTGCCCACTCACCCTCAGTTATAGTTAGGTAGTTAACTGTGGCAGCCAGACCCTTGTAAATCTGGTAACCGCTTCCCCAGCTCAGACTCAGTATGCATACAAAATATACACAACATATAAAAGTTACTAAACATTCCCTCACTCTAGAGACAGATGATGCCCTGCTAATGCAGTGGAGCATAGAAGCAGTTACACCAACTTCTCATTGCCTGGTTCACTGCCAATGCTCCCTCTAAGCTGTGGAGTCTTGTGAGCAAAAATTCTGCTTTGTGAGCTACTGGCATTAAAGTTGTGAGCCAGCGATTTTGCTGCTGCATAAATTAGTTTGCTCTGGAGCCATCCTTCCTGAGCTAAGACAGAAATGTGTGAGCCAGAGGCTAAAAACTGTGAGCTAGCTCACACTAACTCAGCTTAGAGGGAACACTGCTCACTGCAACTTATTTCTAGGACAGCTTTTCTTTGTGTGGAAGAACTCTGAGGACTGATTCACATACTTCTCTGTTACGTACATTCTCCATGTTTGTCACTTAGTGTGGTTTCTGTACATGCTATTGCATGGGAATAGGTCCCACCTTTGTGAGCCATTACTTAATAGTCTTTCTCCCATCCTGGCTTGTACTGTCTGCATTTCCATGCCTTGGCAACCTAGAAGAGTGAGAGACAGATTGTTCAGTTTCTTCCTGATTTCTCATACACGAGAGCTGCACCTCCCCCACACACCATAACCCTCTGTCCAACTTTGTAACAACTTCACTTACTAATGGAAACTTGCATTTAGGAATTTATTTTAAGAAATTAAATAGATTCCCATTCTTCCTTTAGTGTTTTTATATTTATGACTCTTCCTTCACAAAAGAAGATGCATCGTTGTGATGCCTGTGCAGTCCCACATAAGAACATAAGAGAAGCCAATGTTGAATCAGGCCAGTGGCCCATCCAGTCCAACACTCTGTCACACAGTGGCCAAAAGTACCAGGTGCCATCAGAAGGTCCAGCAGTGGGGCCAGGACACTAAAAGCCCTCCCACTGTTGCCCCCCCCAAGCACCAAGAATACAGAGCATCACTTGCCCCAGACCGAGAGTCCCTATCTATACCTTGTGGCTAATAGCCACTGATGGACCTCTGCTCCATATGTTTATCCAGTTCCCTCTTGAAGCCGTCCATGCTTGTAGCCGCCACCACCTCCTGTGGCAGTGAATGCCACGTGTTAATCACTCTTTGGGTGATTAACCCATGGAAACTCTTTGGTTACTACACAGGCACAAGCCTACTACAGAAAGGTTTTTGAAGCTCAGAAGATGCCTGAGGGCACTCCATCCTCCCTCCCCCCCGTTTCCCACCCCACCTCTCACAGTGGGGCAGAGGGGCAGAGCACCCTTCCGATAGTTCTCTCTCCTGCTGCTGAGAGAGGTTCGTTTCCAGAAACTTTGTAGTTCTTCATCAGCACTAAACTATGAACAAGTCTACCACAATAAAGCCTCCGTAGACCCTCATGCCCTGAATATAGCATAAAAAGCTCTCTTTTAAAAAATGTAGGTTTTGTGGGTCAACAGCATGGGAAGGGGGGGGGTCAGAGCCAATGTTCCCTCTAAACTGTGGAATCTTGTGAGCAAAAATTATACTTTGTGAGCTACTGGCATTAAAGTTGAGAGCGAGCAATTTGGCTACTGCATAATTAGTTTGCTCTGGAGCCATCCTTCCTGAGCTAAGACAAACATGTGTGAGCCGGAGGCTAAACAAGTGTGAGCTAGCTCACACTAACTCAGCTTAGAGGGAACATTGGTCAGAGCACCCCCCAGGCATTTTTTGAGCTTCAAAAACCTTTCTGCGGTAGGCCTATGTATGCACACCCACGGGTGCCCACTCGATAGATACAGGAAAATGCAACCCTTATTTTCCCTTTGACTTCAGTCCAGTGGGTTTACTCCTGCACAGAATCCCTTCTCCATCCTGTATCATCAGGTCTGTATTTGGCACACATTGTGCATTTTGCTGTAGTTAAGTTGCTGAAATCAATACGGTTCTGTTACAAGTCCAATTTAAAAAATACCTGGGCAAGGGGAGAGCAGCAGCCTCAGTTACAGTGCTCGGGTATCAGTGAATATGGATAACGTCAAATTTCTTACCCTTGCTGTTTCAACCTATAGGTCCTCATTTGACCATCACTTCTCCTTTTGTGTGATTTCTTAAAAATAAATTGTGCCATTTTCTGTTCATTGAATTGTTATTTTTTTCAACATCGTTTGTGCATTAGTTGTATAATAAATGGTCTACATTGTGTATATAGATTGGATATAAAAACTGTAAAGCGTGCAAACAAATCTATAAAACCAACAATGAAAAGCTGGGAAACGGAAACATATTTTAAAAAAGTAAACAAATTTTAAAAGAAACAAAGGAAGGGACAGAACGTTTGGTCATTCCAAAATATTATCAGGGTTCAAACTGAAAATTTTAACATACCTTCTCTTGTCCTTTTTTTTCTTTTCTTCCCTCTTTTTTAGCAACACCCTTTCTTCACCCTACACG